TTCCTTCTACCACCTAACACAGTAACTTTCCTCCCAAACAAAGCTTACAATCGAGTTCGTCGGGGGTCAAAACCCCCGGATCGCCTTTTTCCCTTCCTAAGCCCATTCACAAATGGATGCGTTACGTCCTACTTCCTCTCTCCCTTCTTCCTTCCGGAGCTGCTCTACTAACCTCTTTTCTTACTAACCTACTACCAAAACTAAGTTGACCAGCGCGCTCGCCCGAGGCTAAAGCCCCAATATAGCATCTTCCCACGCTCGATCCTGATCAATATCGAGCAAACCATACTTCTCTGGCAGCTCCCACCTCACTCCCTGCCATTTTTGCTCCCTCGGAATGCACTCGGCGCGCTTATGCGTCCGGATTCATTCCCTTCACTCGCCTTCTTCCCTGGTCCTCCGCCTCCGTCCCTTTCCGAGTCGTTGCTTTCTACTTCCTGTCCACGCCTAGACACCGCCTTCCCTCCGCTGCGCTCGATCACATCACCTCACCCTCTCATTCCTCCGATGCCCATGCCTATGTCAGTTGCTTCCATATCCCGCATGCACTCAGCCTCCTTCGCGTCCATCGCTAGTTTGCTCCGCTGCCCCTCTCCTCAGAGGCGCCCCAACGCTCAGCCGGTCCGAGTGGCCTTTCGCCTCCACCTGCAATCCGACAGTCGGCCAGCAAGACCGGCCCGACTGTCGCCCCGCAGTCTGTTGCTCCGCTCCACCGACTCTTCGCTGCCTTCCTCCACCGGACAGCGCTCCGCTGTCTTACACTCCGCTCCTTCTTTGGCTGCTACTCGTTGCCCGCTCCACTTTTTCTTACCTACGGACGGTCGGCAGTCTGTGCGCTACCCCGGTCGCCACTTTTCTTTCTAGTCATGTTGCCTCCTTTCCATAGCAACACCGTGGCTGCCCCTGTCGCGGTACACCCCTGCCTGCACCCGATCTTATGGCTTAGCGTCGTCGCACCACTATCGGCCGCAGCGGTCCCTCGAAGCCCAGCACAGTTTGGACGAAACCATCCCGACCGATATTCCGAAAGCGGCCGGTTAGCAGAAGACTCGATTGGTTCTTCGTCCCTCTACCCTGGTCCGATGCCGCTTCTGCATGCTGTCGCCGCAGCTCCCCCGGTCCTACTAGATACAGGCGGAGCCCACAGCCACCTTCAGCCGGCAAAAGCCAATTCCGCACTTAAACAACTGGTCGTTGAACTAAGGGCGCGGCCTGCTGCAAGGCCTATTCGTGGCCCTTGGTGATCTAGGCCCGGAACGGCCCTCGAGAACCGAAGTGGAAAGAGCCTATGGACGCAGCCTGATTAGAACAGCGTTTGTGCGCTCCTTCACAGTGCCTTGGGCCGCTCGGACAAAGCACAGTCCGCTTTCTTTTGGGTCCTGGTGGGCATACTCACACTTCTACCTGCCACAGCGGACTCGCGGCCGACGGACGGTGCACCTGCAGCAGGTTCCCGTCACTTAGTTTCTTCCGCCTCGTGGGCTAATCATACGCCGGCTCGCATGCGCGTTAATTCCCCCGGCCCATGTTCTCAGGACATACAAAAGAAAAGAACTTTGCCAACACCCCGAACACGCGGGGACCCGTAGGTCAACGAATGAAGGCGCGCGCTCAAAGTCCTTGACGACCTCCAACTTTGGCGTCGCGCTCAAGTCAAAAGGTACCAACGAAAAATAATAATAAAATGATCATAAGAACTCCCAGCCGCCAAGGACGAAATAAAAGATACCGCCCGCACCGCTCTGACGCCGCCAATGGCCAAACTTATAGGGATAGTCTCGCCGGGGCCCCAATCCCTTAGTCCACTCGCACTATTCTGATATCCTCGCTTCACCGTCGCTTGACCTCGATCCCTGAACCTTACCGATGAAAGTCCAACGCTGTAACCAAATAATGCTAAGCCCAAGTCTGGGTTTGACTCTGACGGACGCCTAAATAAACGGTCGTCGCGCGACTCGTGACCCTACCAAAACGCCTTCAGAAGTCGCATTGTTGTCGATGCCGTCCTCCGCTCTTTCGCTTAGATCACAGGCAAGCACGTAAATCAACGAGACATTATCTTTTTAATCCCTATTTAATCAGATAAAATTCCTGCCGACGATCACGCCGCCGACTCTTCGGTCATCAACAACTAAGAAGATCACGCGTGCCTCAAAAATTTGTGCGCCCACACACTCTCTATTCTAGTCAACCATCCAATCAACGTAAATCATAGACGCAATCGCGCCTAGCGCAGTATGCTTAAACTTTAACCCAAATTTCCTTTCTGTCGGTTGCAAAAAACAGGGCGGATACCCTTGTAAGGGTATTCGCACCGACAGCGCGGCGCGGTTTGTTTTTGTGGTTGGTGTTGGCGGGCTTTATGAACGGGGTCTTTATTCGCTACAGGTTTGTTTTGCGCCGCGGCGTGATTGCAGGTGTCGGCCATATTCAATCAGGTAGTGTATATCTCCATTTTCTAGCGGAAGATTCATCCGATTTGAAGATTCATTCCATTTGGCTCATCCTATCGGTGGAAGTAGCATTACGCCAGCCGCGGTTTAACTCTTGCGTGACATGGTCCGGAGGAATCTCGTTTTTTGTGAGATAGGCGGGAACCGACTTGGATACGCTCGATAGGTCTGTGGCGGTTGTCAAAATGAAACCCCTTGCCATTGTTCCAGAACTCCGAAGATGGAGTCTCGTTTCCAAAGTCATGGGTGTTTAGCCACGACAAAGGGTTAAGGCCCGCTTGCCACTCCTCCACGCAGGGTGCAGAAGAGGGTAGGTCTTGCACTTGCATTCGCGATTGTCTAACGTCAATAGATTAACCTCTCAAGATGCGTGTCAGCTGACACTCAAGTGTCGAAAGGTTATGCATTGAACGTGAATAAGGGACTACGCATAATTTACGTACGAAGCTTGAATTTATTTTATGAGTGTATCACGTGGTTAGATTAGTCGTCCTAGTCAACTGACGCAAAGCCACACAAAGGAGATCACCCCCCAAAGCGTTGGTTTGCGTGGGAGTTTGATTAAGGTGTTCGCCCGCGTGCGCCTCCTATGCTATAGCGAACGAGAAACGCCCTCAGCTTGGCCACCTCTGCGATGACACTCGAGAAGCTTTCACGAGTGGTTCGGTAGGTCGGCGGGGATACGCCTGCCTAAGGGTGGTGACAACCCCTTGGAAAGAGGTAAGTTGTTCCTCGCGCGACCGCTACCCTGTCATAGGGGTTCGTGAGAGGTAAGGCTGGCGTGCTCGACCGAAGCGTCAAACCGCTCTTGCGATAAAGTCCTGCAAAATCCTGCGTGATGCGGCCAGGAGGGTCCCCCTGCGGGACTGATGCACTCGACAACGTACATTCTGAAAACCAAGTGCAGAAAGGCTAGTGTCCATGGGGAACTGGTGGGATGGTCCTCAGATTTGGTTGTCAGCGAGGGGGACTAAGGGAGGGGTGACCATCCAATGCACAGACTGTTGGGTATGAAAATTATCGACTTTTGTGCAGCTCTCTGGGGGAGGTGGGCCTGGACAAAACTATTTATTGCTGAACAGAAATGGGCTTTTGCTACCGTTTATGTACCTATAAATCAACTTTGAGCTCTCCGAGACACGTAAGCACGCCATCGCTCATAATTGTGATCTTGCATACGCACCCAACCTTTTCGGTCAGGAAAGCGGCGCTGGAAGATCCCTCAACATCCTGGTAAGTTTTTGAAAACTGTGCTGCCCGCCTTTCTGGAGATTGCTTAGTTTCTGTTTGGTTTTCGAACTTCGTAGTAATGGTCTGTTTCCCCCCTCCTTTTTTGCCATAGCTCAATGGCCACAGAACAGAACCGGAGATTCCAGTTCTGACCTGGAACTCCAAACCCCCACTTTGCACTTTGCTTGCCCGTCCCGATCGGCTCCGAAAGGAAAGCAGCACGGGACGTAAGGTTGCACACCACAGGGACCCTTGCAAGCATGGGTACCTTGCAAATACAGGGTCTGCATCGTATTTAGCGAAATCACTGCTCACAATCAAGAGTCAAGAGGATGCATGTTGCCCCCTGCCCTAATTGGCTGTGGTCAGGGAGTAGGGTGCGGCTGCTGGTGACAGGAGCGGCTAACGCAAAGACACAGCATTTTTGAGAGTATCCACGCCTCCCATCTACTTCCCGCTCCCCTTATACAGGGAACCCCTATCTGCACCTCCCATCTGCTATCCTCGCCCCCGTACAAGGGACCCCTGCACGCATGGCTACCTCTCACACTCAAGGGCATCCAGGTTGCCCCCTGCCGTAATCCGCGGTGGTCAGAAGGTTGGGCCACCCGTGGGGAGGGTATATGAGAGAGCATTTTGCCAGCAGCTGCGCCTCCCATCTAGTTCCCCGCCCCTACCCAGTAGCAGCGATGTCCAGGGCCAACACTCTCTCATATACCACACACAACCCGCGCAGACCCACACACACACTCACAGCCGTGATGTCCAAAGACCCTACCAATATCGACGAGGGGGAGCACGGCAACTATCTTAGTTGTCCCAAAAAAAAATAAAAATAAAAAAAAATCCTTAGTTGACACACGACCTCCTGAATGCCACTTGGTTGGCTAATCAACTGAGCTTGTTCTCTTGTTCATTCTGCAGTTTGCATTGTGGCTTGGGGCCTACGGTAGCTGCACTACCCGCCATCCGCCGAAGTTCTGAATGAATCTTAACCGGGAAATCCTCCCTGATGCATTCAAAATCTTGGCGGACGGCGAGTAACGCAACTAGGCCCTTTGAGTAAAAGTGTACACTGCACTGTACAGTGTACAGTGTGTGCGGTGTGTGCTGTGGCTATACGCCTGAACACCCTTCCAGCTCCGCTCTCATCACCACCATATCCATTCTCTCTCTCTCTCTCTCTCTCTCTCTCTCTCTCTCTCTCTCTCTCTCTCTCTCTCTCTCTGTGTTTCTTTTTTTTTCCCTTCCCTGCGGTACAGCCACTTGGCCCGTAACGGACGGACACGACAAAGTACAACATAGTACGGGAACCGCTGCCGTAGCATACAGGACAGCTACCAGTCAAGCTCTAAACTTGGACCATAACGGACGGACAAGACAAAGTACAACATAGTACGGGAACCGCTGCCGTAGCGTACAGGACAACTATCACTCAAGCTGTAGCAAATGACGTCTACCATCGCTTCAACGTCCCCCTTGCCGTCCTCCATTTCAATGCAGACCTGCACGACATTGCCACAGAGAGGAATACTGCGGACATTCCCGAATATAACATGGAGTACAAAGCGAAGTGGAGGCAGCAGCGGGAGTGGCGCATGCTTAGCGACCGATCGGTGTGCCGAATCTCAGACATGTGGTGCTTCTCTGCATCTGTTTCATCCGTACGATTTGTCCCCTGAGTCGAAGTTACTGTTCACTCGTCGCCTCCACCTTCATCGCCATCCGCGCGCGTGCTCCCTCACCTCATCTGCAACAAGAAGGAACACGAGTGTTAGTGTCCAGCTGTCATCTCGACATTCGTCGCGGTTTTCCCGTGTATTACTCTGCGGCCATTCCTGGACCTCATTTTCTGAGGCCCAGCCCCGTCCATCATTTTCCAAGGCGAACGGCCGTCCGATGGCTTCCGATGATCTTCGGAGAGATGGGGAGTGCGGAACGAGGGCGCAATTGGCGGCACCTGGAGGCGAAGTAGTATACTGCCGCTCGGCACGAGAAGGGTCCAATGTGGGGACCACCACTACATCCGACGCGGTCGAGAGTTCAAAGCCGTTGTCTGACACGGAATTGTTCGAATTCGCCTCCGTCGCCAATCGCCTTGCGGACGAGGCCGGGGAAATTATTTCGAAATTTTTCAGATCTCGTCTTATGATCGAGAACAAGCTCGATATGAGTAAGTGCTCGGCCCTCTCTCTCTGTATTTCGCTTCTCTTCTGTGTGTGTGTGTGTGTGTGTGTGTGTGTGTGTGTGTGTGTGTGTGTGTGTCTCTCTCTCTCTCTCCTCTCCCTCAAGCTCGATATGAGTAAGTGCTCGGCCCTCTCTCTCTGTGTTTCGCTTCTCTTCTGTGTGTGTGTGTGTGTGTGTGTGTGTTTGTGTGTCTCTCTCCTCTCCCTCCCTCTCCTCTCCCTGCTCTCCCTCCCCCTCTCCCTCCCCCTGTGTCTTTCTTTCTCGCTCTACCTGTTGTATGCGGAAGTCAGACGTCACGTGTTCCCTGATTATTGCTATGCGGGGATGGTATGTCTGCGACCTTGAAAATGACGATCGGTCTTCTGCTGGCTGGTCTGTGTTTTTTTTTTTTTCCCCCTCTAGAATTGATGTGGTTGGTCTATTTCTGGACGATGCACGATGCACGATGAGGCCTAGACCGCGGGGCAATCGTCTTTCGATGTTACGAATGCTTAGTTGGATGTGCAGTTGCTGAATTCAACGATCCAATCAATCCATCTTGCATCGGACTCATTCTACGATGCATATAAATAAAATCTGAACTGGAAGGAATGCTGAATTCTGCGATGGGTTGGGCGAAAGGCGGAATTAGAGTGGGTGTGCATGGACTTGCAAGGGAACGGGATATGCGTATATTTTTGCAGAAGGTTTGACGATAAGAAAGGACTGCCTGATACAGAACGGGATACGGATTGCTGACCCGTTTGAGCGAAAAGGACGTACCAACCAACGGCGAACACATTATGCGAGAAGCGAAACCCATTTCTGGGCAGGCGGGAAAAAAATCGAGGGTCGAGCACATGAAGAAGGGGGGAACAAGCGATAAGAAGGACCGGACGTCCTTTTTTTTTTTTTTTTTTTAAAACGGTCCTTGTGCAAGGCCTCTATCCCAGTGGTGGTAAGAGAACCACCGGGATTGACGCTTTGCCTGCGGGCCGTACGTCCATTTACTTATGTTACTCAGAGAAAATTCTCGCTAGGACCGGTAATCACACTCACACACACACACGCAGATAGATAGATAGATAGATAGATAGATAAGAGGTGATGAACAGGTGGAGCTTTCCTTCCTTCCTTCTTTTCCTTTCCTTGTTTTGCTTCTTTTTTTTTTTCCTTTTTTTTTTTTCGCCTTCGCGCTCTGATTTACATGACGATATGTATATTGTCACATATATATATATATCCCCTCGTTTGTTGTCCTCTTCTCTCTCTCTGCCTACGGTTTACCGGGCAGTTCTATTTGTGACGATATATATATATAAAACTCCGACGAAACAGTTTGTCACAGCCCCTCGTTTGTTGTCCTCTTCTCTCTCTCTGCCTACGGTTTACCG